ATGGTGCAGCAAGCCAGGGGAATGCATCAAAAAGTTGTTAGGAATGTAGGGTAAGCTGTTAAGCGGGGGTTAACATAAATCGCTTGGAACTTTCTTGTTATATTATGGAAAGAAACTTTTACAGTTGTCTGAAATCCATTAGCTGGGATAAATAGTGTGCGTAAAACGATTTAAATACCCTTACACTTGTTTTGAATGTCTTTTGTCTTTCAAAATATATACATTTGTATTTAAGTAGTTTGCGCCTCTTGTTTTCAATAAAAATCACCTTACGTCGCTGGTAAAAAACAATTTCAGTACTGATAGTTATGATGTTCAACATTCTAAACATATGTTTTACTGTGATATTTAGGCGGTTGTAGATTGGCGACAGCATAATGTTTTACCTGACATCGTGGATCAGGCAAATTGTGGTATGTATAATATAATCCACTAATAATTATTAATATTTATTAAGTAAATAATTTTTCTCTTTATTTTTGCTTATATTTTTTACAGATTGTTGCTGGGCAGTCGTGGCTTGCAATGCCATTAGTACTGCACAGAGCATACAATATCAAAATCCACGCACTGTGTACTCCTACCAGCAGTTGATTGACTGCTGTGAGGAAGAAAAATGGAGTACCTTAAAACCTGACGAAAAGCACAAGTGCCAGAGGAGCTCCTACAAAAAAGCATTTCGATGTATCATGACTGCTGGACTGAGTTTTGGTAAGAACCATGAATTTGTGAAAAAAAGAAATCCTTGCACTCAAAAGGTAATACTCTTTCTATATATTATATTGTAAATTTAAATTTATAAATTTTAGCAACAATCTGTAAAAAATATTATCAACAGGTAAGGAGAAGAAATGCAATCAAATGGGCAATACAAAGGACGGAATGTGGAAATGGGACCTTGCCTGGAGAAGAAGCCTGTTCGAATGGGAAGCTGATAGTGCAGAGGAGCTCAACGTCATGATCAAAGATACGAGAATTTCACCAGGTAGCCCAGACAAGTGGCTGTGGACACACAACAACGATGGCAACTACTCAACCAAATCAGCTTACTCAATGTTGATAAAAGATCACGATGGATTAAATGCAGCTTCAACTTTTAAGAGGGTGTGGAATCCAATTCTTCCAAATAAAATAACAGCATTTAATTGGCAAGTTTTATTAAATAGAATCCCAACCAAACTCAATCTACTGAAAAGAGGATGCGCCAAAGGATGGGAAGACAGCAAGTGTGTCATGTGCGAAGCAGAGGAGGAAGATTCGGATCACCTACTTTTAAAATGCAGTTTGGTCAAGTGGTTGTGGAAGGCATGTGCAGCGTGGTGGGGAATCAATGTAAGGCTGGAGAATAATTGTTGGGATACATTCAAGAAGCTCGGGGAAGGGAACAAAGATTCACGCATTAGAGAAGGCTGGGACTGCATCTGGAATGCTTTGGTCTGGTCGGTGTGGTTAGCAAGAAATCAGAAGATTTTTCAACAATCAGAGCAGAAAAAAGAAAAGATACTGGAACTCATACAATTGAGAGCTTTCTTATGGATTAAAGCAAGAAAGGCAAGATGCACATTTACCATTTCTGATTGGCTTAACAATCCAACTGCATGTCTTACAGTTAACAGTGGAAGGAAAAGGAAAAGAGCGAGCAGGACAGATAAAACGAGTAAGGAGGGATAATTTTTAAATGGATGATTATCAGTTTGCTGTTTATGTATTATGGGTAGAGTAGCTCTTGTACTCATATCATCAATAAAAGTATGCTTTGCTGTGCAAAAAAAAAAACAATCTGTAAAAAATATAAGCAAAAATAAAGAGAAAAATTATTTACTTAATAAATATTAATAATTATTAGTGGATTATATTATACATACCACA